ATACAAGGTTAAAACATTTTTGTTTTATGAACTAATGTAATTTAAACTGCTTATTTTTAATTCACTTTTATGTATCTCTTATAACTTGTTAAGAACTTCTATGTATTTGTATGCATTCATTGTATAACCACGCTGCTTTTGGATGAAAATGGCTATATAAATAAAGGTGGAGTCCTTACCTATCTGCCTATATAATTGAGCTCTGGTAATCTTTATGTGTTGTTTTTGGAAATAAAATCAACTGTGTTCCACCCAGTACATACTTCACACATTCGTCAAATATTAGCAGCTTCTTATGGTATGGAAACCTGAACATTTGTGGTAGAGTTCAAATCAGTCCCCTGGGTTTTTTTAATATTACTGAAGAACCTGTTAGTGGCGCTATCAGAAAAGATATCTGTGCTAAGTATTGTTTCTTGATCAAAGAACTAGGTCAGGTCAAATGAAAACATGAATTTTGTCCTTAAAATCATTGATAATTGAAAAATAAAGATAAAGAGCAGATCTTTCAATAAAAAGGGTTTTAAGGTGGGAGGAGGCACTGTTTTTTTTCTGAAAAGAGAGAAACCTGTTAGATGCACTTTAGAGCTGGATCGCCACACCTACTCCTGTTAGTAAAGCATCAAATGTCTTTATGAGGTCAGTGCCATCATGTCTCTGTTATGGATCACAGTCCTTATTCTTCATCAAGGATGTAAGTACATTTTGTTTTAAAGTGTGAAGTTATTTTAAGTTTGACATTAACATTTAATTTGGATCATTGATTTTATCTCTAACCCAGATGCCTTAGTTCCTGTGGTCACTGTTCAGCTTGGTGAACCTGTAACTTTTACCTGTGCAAATAAGGAGTCCACAGCATGGCTTTACTGGTACAAGCAAACTTCTGGAGATAATCTGAAAATGATTGTAAAGCAGAGAAAAACCATAGATCCCCATTATAGCCCAGAATTTCCTTCTTCAAGATTCAAAGTTACAAATGATGATAAAATAAGCAACCTCACAATTCTGAGGACAGTTGGACAAGACGAGGGAATGTATCACTGTGCTCTTTTAGACTATAAAGAGTTTACTTGGATGGGGACGTATTTGATGGTAAAAGGTAATGTGAGACCTCAGTATTACAATGTTTTGAAATCTTTTATCACTAAAGAAATAAAATTCCTCCTGAAATTTCAAACTACAATCTGATATTACACCTATATTGCACAGTTTCAATTGGATTTAACAAGTTTTTAAAGGATGTAAAATTTCATCTGAATCAGCTATTAAACAGATTAAATGTGTTTTACTAGTTTACACTGGTCTATAGCAAACTATTATATGTGCCTCTGATGTATTCATTGTTTTTAATGTCTTATTCCTTTTGATATGCTCTTACTATGAGAGATGCAAAAAATATTATTCATGCAAATGTTGATACATGCAAATATTAAATTACTTGGAAACAGTGTAATTTTCACTGCTTCAGTTTCAAAGGCAAAGGCACTATGTAATATTTCATTTCCTTGCGAATCTGTCCATTACATTTTATATATTGAACAACTTAGTTTTGAAATGTAACCTTATAATAATGATTTCAGGAAACTCAAAGAAGACATCCAGCTACACTGTTGTTCAGCAGTCAACAGCCTCAGAGTCGTCGCGTCCAGAGGACTCAGAGACTCTGCAGTGTTCAGTTCTCTCTGAGTCAGAGAACAATTCATGTTCAGAAGATCTCAGCATGTTCTGGTTCAAAGTTGGATCCAACAGATCCTATCCAAATATCATCTACACTGATAGTAAAAGAGCTGATAACTGTGAGAAAAGTCCAAACGCCCGAAAAAAATGTATCTATAACTTCCCCAAGAACATCAGCTCCTCTGATCCTGGGACTTACTACTGTGCTGTGGCTACATGTGGAGAAATCTTATTAGGAAATGTAATCAGAAAGGATGGAGGTATTATAAACATATTGAGAAATATGCACAACAATAAATGATTATCTCAATGGCTAGGAGATGCTCATTTTTCTTATTTCTCTTTTCTAGGTCAAACATTATGTTACAAAAATACGATTGTGCTGATCACATTAATCATTTTCGCCGTTTCTGTTATCGTACATATCATTTTGATCTTTTATCGAACTCAAGTCTTGCCATGTCAAATAGTTAAAGGTAAGTATTATTAACCGAACAATATTTATTTTTTATTCTACTTAAAACTCAAGACTCTATAACTCTATATAAGAAAAT